TGAATGTGTGTGTCCACAGAAGGGGTGTGAGATACCCTGAGACCTGCACTCAGCTCAGGGAGAATTCCAGGTTTATAGGGAATCCCCAATCTTTCCCTTTGCCAGTCCCTGGAGCAGGGTGAGGGTGACCCCATGGACACTCCTGAAGTGCCTGTTGTGTTCCCCCATAAATCTCAGTCTTCACACATGGAAGAATGACCTCACACACATTTTATCACAGGACAGTGTTTTAGAAGATCTTTGATAGGCACCTTTGTATTTAATTTTGGAGGCAGGGGAGTGTCTCTGCTCTCACTTCCTGCTGGATCATGTGCTGTTCACTCCTCCCTTTAAGGAGGAGCTGTGGGTGCAATAATTCACACTCCCCGTGGCACTTCAGGATCTAAGTATTTGCCTGTCAGTCACAGCTAGGGAGCAGAAATAATTCCAGGGGAAGTTCAGTTGAGAAACCTCAATACAGGAACATGCTCTGTGTGTTTTGTGATCAGACCTTTGGAGAAAGTGCAGACTCTGCTCAGATTTCTTTCCTTAACGTTTCTGAGTGAAGCATAATTTTGAGGAAACCTCAGTAATTTCCGGATGCCTTTCAATTGGAAAGCTGTTGATCAATTCCTGATGAGTTAATCCTCAACAATTCTTACTCTGAGCCATTTAAAACCTTGAGATTTTTCTGTTGTGTTTTGCAGTCGTCCTCGTTCAGCAGCATCACTGACTCCACCATGTCCCTAAACATCATCACTGTCACACTCAACATGGGTAAGAGGACAAGCCACGGTTTTTTTTTCTGATGAATTTCAAGTGCTAGAGATGTATTTTGTGATGGTGAGGGAGCCTTTGAAGCCTGGAGGGAGCTCTTTGGTTTGAAAGGTGAATAAAGAGGATGGCAGCTGAGAGTGTGCCTGGATTCCTAATCCAGAGCTGGGCCATTTTCACCAGTGTTATTTCTATACCAGTGTTCCTTCCAGGGAAGGAGCTGGAACTCCAGGATGTGGAGTTAATGGTGAGGGGTTAGGGTAGAAGGACGCTGGAGCTTTGCATTTCTGCTGCTCCTGTGTTTCATTTGTCAGCCAGACAGAAAAGTGCAGGGCTGCCAACAAATTCAGCACCTTTCAGCAGCACCAAACCCTTCCTGCCTCTCCGACGTGTGGAACAAACATTGCTTAATGTGATCGCTGCTAATTTCCAGGTGTGGACAAATCTTTTCAGTGCTCTTCCTCTTGCTGTTTTTTATGTGTTTTTTAATGTATCACTGTCTTGGATGAAAAAATCGTGTCTTTAGCAGCCTTTCCCTGAAGGTGCCAGGCAAATATTCACCATCAGAGCAGCCTGAGACCATTGCAAATCCAACCTTGCCCCGCTGACGTGTTGAGATGTTTCAGAGCTGAAGCAGCCTCGCTCTTTGCTGTCATTCCAGTCACTCTCTGGTTTTTTTTTTTCCTTTTCCCCACCCTCCACTTTGTGTCCATCTAGAAAAGTACAACTTCCTGGGAATCAGCATCGTGGGGCAGAGCAATGACCGGGGTGACGGTGGCATCTACATCGGCTCCATCATGAAAGGAGGGGCCGTGGCAGCGGACGGGCGCATCGAGCCAGGGGACATGCTGCTGCAGGTGAGTCCCTGCTGCTGCAGGTGAGTCCCTGCTGCTGCTGCAGGTGAGTCCCTGCTGCTGCTGCAGGTGAGTCCCTGCTGCTGCAGGTGAGTCCCTGCTGCTGCTGCAGGTGAGTGCCTGCTGCTGCAGGTGAGTGCCTGCTGCTGCTGCAGGTGAGTCCCTGCTGCTGCAGGTGAGTGCCTGCTGCTGCTGCAGTTGAGTCCCTGCTGCTGCAGGTGAGTGCCTGCTGCTGCAGGTGAGTCCCTGCTGCTGCTGCAGGTGAGTGCCTGCTGCTGCTGCAGGTGAGTGCCTGCTGCTGCAGGTGAGTGCCTGCTGCTGCTGCAGGTGGGTTCCTGTTGGATCTCAGAAATATGGAGTTTTTGAGCTTTCTGTGCTTCCAAGCACAGACCCCCTGGAAAACACTGCTCTGGAGCTGGAACCTCGGAGAATGCTTAGAAATCTGAATAATGATTTAGAAATCACCAGTGTGTGGTGGGTTAGATGTGTGTGTTTTCACTGGGTGATGGGTTTTAAATGTGAGGTTTTTACAGTATAGTGGTGGATATGGGCCAAGATGGAGAATTTTGGGTGGTGTCCTTCTCTGTGTTCATGTTCTTCTTCACAGAACTCAGGCAGTGACCTTTGGTTGGTCAATCAAATGTCACTCTAACGGTCATAGTAATCTGTTATTGGGTCAAAAGGATAAATAATGTAGGTCTTAAACTTTTATTGGTTTGTTTAGCTTTAAAAACCTTTAAAGCAGGCTCAGCTTGGAGCCATTTTTTTCCACTTCTAGCAAGGAGCTGGAGGTGCTGTCGTGCTTTCTGTAATTTTTAATAAGATGTAATAAACATCCAAGCCCGAACATGAAAATCATCTCAATCACCTTTCTGTTAATCCTGGCTCTGAGGGAAAACAGATGAGGCTGATGACAAACCACTAATAAATGGTGCAAAGCCCAGCTTACACTCCCACAGGTCCCTGCTGCTGCAGGTGGGTCCCTGTCCCCAAATCCTGCTGCTGTGCTCAGCCAATCCCCCCCAGCCCCACGGGCTGCAGTGAGCAGGGAACAGAATTTATTCATCCTCAGAGAAATGTGGCACAAAGATCACTGAAATCGGTGGTTCTTTGGGAGAAAAACGACATTTTAAAGGAATGGAAGCAGTGACCAGGCAGATAAATTGGGGGATTTAACGAAGTAATTAGATCACCTTTAACTTGGGGGATTTAATGAAGTAATTAATTCACCTTTCACTTTCCTGCTGCAAAGGCTGACCTCTGCTTTCTGCACTGTTGCAGGTGAATGATGTCAATTTTGAGAACATGAGCAATGACGATGCCGTCCGGGTTTTACGGGAAATCGTCTCCAAACCAGGGTGAGCACATCACAAAAACCTCTTCCTATTTCTCCTCCGTGTGCAGGAGCTGGGAAAACCTCAGAGAAATCAGCATTTTGATATCCATCAGCATGAGTGAACATCTCAGCTGTGAACTTCTCAGTGTAAATGATGAATAGGTGAGGTTGGTTCTGGCCAAAACCAACACCAGTGAGCAGTTGCTTGGTTTCAGCAGCGCTGTTTGTTTATGTGATGAGCATTTTAATATCTCAAGTGCTGATCTTCCAACAGATTTCACCACCAGTGCTCATCATCTGTTCAAAACCAGGAACATCCTGATGTGCTTCATACTGAAAATATTCCAAAGCTTCTCAAAACCATCCTCAGGATGTACTTGACAACCGCTGGATAGGAATAAATTTGTTTTCAAATAGTTCTTGTAGCATTTCCAGCTCTGTGGGGAAGTTAAAAGTCATCCTTACCTGTTCTCTTTCTTCCTAGACCTATCAGCCTAACAGTAGCCAAATGCTGGGACCCTACTCCCAGGAGTTATTTCACCATCCCCAGGGGTGAGTGCACATCTGGGCTCTTTGCTGGGTTCCTGGAAAGCCCCCAAGGTCTGGAATATTTTCACCTGTTTTTGCATCTAACAGATTCTACCCATTCAGTTCTTTTATTTGTTTATTTTTCTATTGGGAGCCTGGGGTTCAAGATACTTTTTCTGAGATTCCACTGCCCATTGAATTCCTGGGAGTTTTTCTCTTGGTTCACATCTTTGGATCGAGCTCCAAACCTTTTGGGAGGTGATCTTAACCTTTCAGTTCAGAAAAGGTTTGGAAATAATTACACCAAGTGTTAAAAATCCTCATTTCTCACGGTGAAGTTTTAGAGAGAACTTAAACTGAGTGTTTTGAAGATGTGAGGGAAGCAGCAGTGATGCACATTAAAAAGCCTTGAAAATTACCTTGTTTTCAGTAGGACTAAAAGATGTGTGCAGATGTGACAAACACAGCTGCCTCCTGCTGGTGAGGGCTGTGCTGGTGCTGCTGGAACCAGTTTGTTCCACTTTGTGCATAGAAAATGAGAGTGGCATTGAAGGTGAGGGTGGAATAAATGCAACAGACTGGTGCAGATTGTGGGAGCTCCCTTGAAACCCTTAGGAAAACCAGAGAAACAACAAGAGAACAAGAGAAAACCCCTTAGATCTTTCAAAATTTTGATATTTCCTGCAAGGCTGACCCTGTTTTCTGTGCCTTTTGTCTGGTGCAGACTACAGGACCTCACTCCATTGAAACCCTTATTAAAACCGGTTATAACCAAAATAAAAACTCCTCAGACCACTCAAAATCTTGTTTTCTGCAAGTTTGGCCCTGTTTTGCTGTCCCTTTGTGGTGGTGCAGATTTTGGGACCTTACTCTCTTGAAATCTTTATTAAAACCACTATAACCAGAAGAAAACTCCTCAAATCTCTCAAAATCTTGGTGTTTGCTGCAAATCTGACCCCATTTTCTGTGCCTTTTGTCTGGTGCAGACTACAGGACCTCACTTCATTGAAATCCTTATTAAAACCACTATAACCACAAGAAAACCCTTCAGATCCTTGAAAATCTTGGTGTTTGCTGCAAATCTGTCCCTGTTTTCTGTGCCTTTGTGGTGGTAGAGTCTGTGGGACTTCCCTCATGTGAAACCCTCAGAAAACCAGGGAAACAACAAAACAACATGAGAAAACTCCTCAAATCTCTCAAAATCTTGATATTTTCTGCACATCTGCCCTAGTTTTCTGTCCCTTTGTGGTGGTACAGTCTGTGGGA